GTTATTAGTTTGACCTTTTACTGACTTTCGTTTATTAGTAAAACCAGTTGATGCTGTATCATTATTAGCCAATCAGATAATTTCTTTTGTTTTGTGTGCGAGTCTGTTATGTCTTAGAATAAACGTGTTCAGCTTACATGTGTTCATCACTCTGGGTTCATCATCTACCAAATACCCCACAATCTAACATGGTGGCAGCGGTAAACTTGTGAATATTGAACTAAACGGTCTGTCAACCGTAAGTTGTGACTATTTTGTGCATTTTTCTCATTATTTCGGGAACCAGAACACTGTCAACTCGATCGACACATGAGGTCACTGAGTGCATCAGCTCATTTTTGAATGACATTTGAGAACTCCGAAGTATTACCTTTCCTCAGATATCTATTCAATATGGGTGATCCACCAACTATATATCAAAGTGTTCCGGGACCAGGAAAACTCTCTCTAGAAGGTGATGCAGCTCTAAACTTCCGCCGTTTTGAGCGCGGGTGGAAAGTGTACGAAGTCGGCGCTCGCGTCAAGGAACAGGATGCGACAATCCGAGCTTCCATTCTCCAATCATATTTGACCGCAGAAGTCCTAGAACTACTGGAAACGCTTCCATTTGAGGACCCAGCTCACCGCAAAGATGCTGACCGTATTCTCAAAGTGCTTGAAACTCACTTCATTGGGACTACAAATGAAACTTATGAAAGGTACAAGTTTAACATTCGCTCTCAGAAAAAAGGGGAAACTTTTGATACATTTCTCGGAGCAATCCGTGTACTCTCCAAGTCCTGTAATTTTGGTGCACTCGAGGACTCTCTACTCCGTGACAAAATAGTGTGTGGTGTTAACAAGGAACATACAAGACGCAAACTCCTTGCGGAATCACAACTCAACCTGGGAAAAGCCATAAACATTTGTAAGGCTGATGAGTCAGCTACACAGCAAGCATCGGAAATAGGCAAATCAACAGACACAAAGGAGGATTCTGTTCATAGTGTAAAAACTCCACGTGACTCTAAACATTCTCAGCGGCCCCAGAGAGGACCCCCTCCACAACAGAGACCACACAAAGGACAGACTCAGAGACAAATAAACCATTGCAAGTATTGTGGTGGCGCACATGCATGGAAAAAAGAAGCATGTCCGGCATACGGAAAGACTTGTAAGAAGTGTAAAGGAAAAAACCATTTTGCTAAGTACTGTAAGCAAGGTGTTAATACTCGTGTACACAGTGTAGAAGAGGGCAATGACTATTATGCGGAGCCTGAGTACTTGATTAGACAAGTTAGTACTAACATTGCAGGTGTATCTGGACATCTCTGTGCGGAACTCATGGTTAACGATCAACCAATAGCATTTCAGATAGACACCGGTGCTTCTAACAATCTTATTGGAAAGAAATGGATTGGTGACACTACTATTACTCCATCTACCAGTACTCTAGTGATGTGGAATGGCTCGCGTATGGAACCTCATGGCGAGTGTATTCTGAAATTAGTCAATCACAAGAACAGGACCAAGTACAAAGTCAAGTTCGTAGTTGTCAATGAGGACTTAACTCCACTCCTCGGACTCAATGCATGTACTCAAATGGGACTCATTACCATAAATCAGGACGAGTTCAAGCGAGTGAACTCTGTGTACTCCGTCTGTCCGACTGTTGCGTACAAGGATGTATTTGAGGACAAAATAGGACAACTCCCTGGAGTAGCACATTTTGAGGTTGACCCCTCAGTCTCACCAGTTATATCGCCAGTCCGGAAGGTTGCAGTCCACATGAAACCAAAACTAAAGGAAGCACTAGAGGATCTGACAAAGAAGGCCATCATAGCTCCTGTTAACAAGCCTACCGATTGGCTCAGTCACCTTGTATGTACCACTAAGAGAAACGGTGAACTCCGACTATGTTTAGACCCAGAGCATCTCAACAAAGCACTAAAACGTGAACATTTTCATCTCCCTGTACTCCGTGAGATGCTACCAGATCTGGCACACGCAAAGGTGTTCTCAACGTTTGATCTCCGTCATGGCTACTGGCACGTAAGGCTGGATGATGAAAGTAGTCACATGACTACATTTGACACACCATTCGGAAGGTACCGTTGGTTACGACTCCCATTCGGTACCAGTGTTTCCTCAGAGATGTTCCAGCGACGTCTATATCAGGCTATAGGTGACTTGAGAGGGATTCTGAACATCGCAGATGATGTATTACTCTATGGTGTTGGCGAGACCAAGGAAGAGGCCATGAGAGACCATGATGGAAAGTTAGTTGCATTTCTCCAGCGATGCCAAGCAGTTGGTATCCGACTCAATCCGAAGAAAATGCGGCTGAGACTCTCCCAGGTAGGATTCATGGGTCACCTTGTAACTGACAAAGGAGTGCTACCAGACCCCGATAAGGTAGCTGCCATTCGCAACATGCCAGCACCAACAGACTTGCATGGTGTTCACAGACTATGTGGAACAGTGAACTTCCTATCAGACTTCATTCCATCATTAGCTACAATAATGGAACCGATAAACATGCTCAAACGGAAGCACATTGAGTTCAGATGGGATGAACCGCAACGTAAGGCTTTCAACAAAGTGAAAGAAATACTATCCTCTGAAAATCATCTCCAATACTACGATGATAAGAAACCACTTACCATACAGTGCGATGCGTCCAAAAGAGGCTTAGGAGCAGCCCTTCTACAGGAAGGAAAGCCAATAGCATATGCTAGCCGAGCACTCACGGAAACTGAGGCGAACTATGCTCAGATCGAGAAGGAACTTCTGGCCATAGTTTTTGCATTGGAGAAGTTTCATCATTACACATTTGCTCGACATGTGGTGGTACAGTCTGACCACAAACCGCTAGAGACTATCATCCCAGGCTCTCTCTGGAAAGCTCCAAAACGCCTACAGGCAATGAAACTACGACTCCAAAAGTATGACATAACTGTTAAGTACCACAGGGGCAAGGAGATGCACATAGCAGACACACTGTCACGTGCGTACCCGTCTGACACAGGAATGGGCAAACAGGATGACGTAATTGACATCAATGTTATTCAACATATCTCCATCTCCCCTGAGCGTATCAAAGAGATACAACGCCACACTGCTAAGGATGAGACCCTACAGGCTCTTCGCAAGACTATCGTGGAAGGTTGGCCTGACCTCTTAACTGAACTACCTCCAGTGGTAGGGCGTTATGCATCCTACAGAAGTGAACTTTCTTTTACGGATGGTATTATTCTCCGTGGAGACAGGATCGTAGTTCCTCAGACTCTCCGTCAAAGTATGCTAGAAAGACTCCATAGCTCTCATCTAGGTATTACTGGCACCCGTCGACGAGCAGCTGAATGTCTCTACTGGCCGAACATGAGCAACGACATAAAGGAATTCATTTCACAGTGTGAGACATGCCGCAGCATGGAAGTGGCAAATACCAAGATGCCACTCTCGCCCCATGATGTTCCAGACCGACCATGGTCTAAGGTTGGTGTTGACCTTTTCACGCTCAACAACATCAACTATCTCATTCTCGTTGACTACTTCTCTGGATACTTTGAGGTTGATGAACTACGCCAAACACTTGCAATCAATGTCATCCAGAGAATGAAGTATCACTTTGCTCGATACGGACTTCCTGAGATTGTCGTCTCGGACAACGGTCCCCAATTCTCATGTCTCGAGTTTCTGAACTTTGCAGAAGAGTATGACTTCAGACATCAGCCCAGTAGTCCGGGAAATTCTCAAGCCAATGGAAAAGCTGAGGCTGCAGTAAAAACAGCAAAGACTATCATCAAAAAAGCTCTGGCGTCCGGAAGGGATGTGTATCTGGCACTACTTGATCTCAGGAACACACCGACCCAAGGACAGAACACAAGCCCTGTACAGCGCTCTCTTGGTCGCCGTACACGTACGCTTTTACCAATGACAACCACCCTACTCCGACCAGAAGGCATACAGACTGACGATATTCACCGTAAGATCCTGCAGCGACAGGAAACACAGAAAAGCTATTTCGACAGAAAATCAAAGGCCCTAAAGCCTCTCGAGGAAGGTGATGTGGTTCGTCTTCAACCATTCGTCAACCGTAAAGCACCTTGGGCTAAAGGTCAAGTCATCCGTCGTCTAGATGACCGCTCCTATGAAGTCAGTTCTGGAGACCGCATATACCGACGCAATCGAGTACACCTTAAGGCTACCAATGAACCTCCAGTGATGACCTTTTCACCTAACACGCCTGTGCATGCACCGCCTATAGTACCTACTCCAAAAACACCGACTAAACCTAAGTCACCGGTTAAGGTCAGCCCACAGCCTGTGCAACCACATATCACTGTACCTCCGGCACCGATGCCAAGCTTACCTGATGCTCGTATTACCACATCAGCTCCGAAGGCTGATTCAGCAGTGAAAACGCGATCTGGCAGGACAGTTAACCTACCTTCACATCTTAAGGATTTTCAGATTGATGTTAAAAAATGAACAGTTTTGTATAAGCTTTATTATGTTTACATCTCAATGACAGTTTCATTTTTTTTTGTAAAATGAGGAGGATGTTATATTCCTGTTATTAGTTTGACCTTTTACTGACTTTCGTTTATTAGTAAAACCAGTTGATGCTGTATCATTATTAGCCAATCAGATAATTTCTTTTGTTTTGTGTGCGAGTCTGTTATGTCTTAGAATAAACGTGTTCAGCTTACATGTGTTCATCACTCTGGGTTCATCATCTACCAAATACCCCACAATCTAACAATAAGCATATAATTGTATACTTTAAAAAGGTAAGATTGAATTGATGATAGACTTGACAGTTAAACTGTGCTTGCATTAATTCATTTCATTTGCAGTTATACATGTTTTACATGAATGAATATAATAACGAAACATGAAGATTACTTGAGAGTTGATTAATACAATTGTACGTTTCATGAATAAATTAATGATTTTGAAATCATGTTGATTTTATATTTAGAATAAAAAAATAAACAGACTGTAGATTGATCTAAATTGCAAATACAAGCACACCCAAAACTTGATCAAATAAAGGATGTAGTATTAGAGGCATGGTTCCTTGTAAAATTTTAAATTTTTTTAACCTTCCAATGGCACGCTCCACATGAATCCTGGCACTTGCAATCTGTCTTGTCTTTGTCACTACCATACTGCTCAACTGTCAATCCATAGAGTAAGGAGGTATATTCAGAGTACACGATCCTCTGGCTAAGAGATCTCGAATTAAAAATCCACGGTCAGCCATATTATCTCCATGTTCTAAATATTCAAGACAACCACTTTCCTCAACAGTACGTCGGTCTGAGATACTTCCATTGAAAAGTTTTGAAATGAAAGTAAAAGATCTGTGGGAGAAATAGAGATAAGTGCCTTGAGGGTATTATGATGTTTAAAATTAGACCAGGTGACTCTCTCTGAGAGGATGGCAAACTTGTTTTCTGAATAAAAAATTCTGTACAGTCTATAATTGATCTGGTCTTCGGGAAATATTTGAATGCTTTTGGTAAGTTAGCTGTTATCTGTTCTTTATTTGGCCATGAAATTAAAAAATTCAACTCCAGATACAAAAAATTTATCCATTTTGTGAAAATCCGACTGATACTAGATTGATGAATACTACATCTAACCCATGTTTAAGACGAACTAAAGTGATCACGAATTCTTCTTTTAGTGAAAGTTTCCGCTTTGGACCAGCTTTTCGAGCCTACAAAATTAAATTAAATAGAATAGAAGATACCATGGCAAGTACTTATATTTTTATATAAATTGAAATACATTTAGAGTTCCTTATAATACAAATGAAAAAGCACAATTAAATCAATTTGTAAGGGGGAGGGTTACTCACTCCTTTGAAATCTGTTGTATTCTGTCCCCTCCAGTAGTTAAGCTTTTCTGCTCTTGGTTTAATCCATTGAAAAAAGAACAGGAAAATGGACAGATTTAAGCCTGTAATTAGATTTAAAAGAAAAAAATTGCATCATGTGAATTTAATTTATATACAATGTACAACCAAATTTTGTGCCATTTTCCTCAAATTGACAATTTTAAAACATACAGTAGAATGTACCTGTGTCAAATTTGCAGCTGTTGTTGTCCTGCAGTACTGATGACAGAAACAACTTTCTAGTCATTTGGTTTCTGTCCATCAATTCCTCATCAGCATATTTGTGAATATGCTCGAAATGAACACATGTCTGGGTTCCAACATCTGACAGTGAAACAAGAGTTGTCTGAACAAAAGCATCAGTAGAGGTTGTTGTGGTAACTTCTTCTTCCCTTAAATTTCAGTTAGTAATATTTTTATTTACGCTTACTTCAAAATATGTTGAGAAAGAAAATTGACATTTTATTATATATTTAAATACAAACCTGCTAGACATGGAACTTCACTGACTGCATCAAATCAAACTTCCTCAATCCCAGGTGCCTGATCATAACTTGTACATGTTGTAGATTCAAAATTAAAGATTTCATGACCATGTTCAGCACTGATGCTACTGGAAGTTAAGCATGTATAATCATGCTCATTTGAAACGGTCTCCAAAGTGAATGACTCAAGGCATGGATCAGATTCGTCCTCGTCACTGAACAAACACTTTCTAGGGCGCTTCTTAGGTGACGGTCTTAAGATTTGTGGTTTTCGTTTTTTCTTTGTTGACAACATATTTCTTTCAAATTCTGTACTTACTGCTGGTAACGGGTCTGGGTGTAAATCGGAAGGCCCATTTCCTCCAACGAAGTGCTTTGAACATAAACTGACACGCAAAAGAAATGCAACACCCTAATTTAGGGGGAAATAATTATGTAAAGTAAAGAATTTGCTATCTTAAAATTATGGATATCTTCAACTTGGTAAACATCGGTAATTTAACGGTTGAACGATTTCCATACCCTAACCGGAAGTCAATTTTGAGTCTGCTTAACAGAAATAAAAAATTGCATGTTTAACAAAACATTTGGCAATGTTATGGAGTTTTAAGGGTTTTTACTGTTCATCATAATTAGTGCAGCAATATTTCAATAAACTCTCCTTTCGTTTCCCGTAACGATGCTACGGCTTCTTGAAAATGGATTGAGTACGCATTTCAATTGCTCTAGCTGGAAAATTTCAATGTAAATGTGATGGAGAGTTTTCTGATGCAAAAATTCACTACATTACGCCTTAACATGGCCTAACGTACCATATGCATTAAGGACAGTCCTTGTACCGGAAGTTCAAAGGTGGCTATACTGCTATAAGTTAGAGAAAATTCGACCTAATCATCTGAAAAATGGGCATTTAAAAATGCCAAAGAATAGCGCCTTCGCTCAGATCTCGATATTGATGAACCTATTGTATCGTAGAAATTAAGCTGCAATTGTTGTTTAGGGTAGTCTTGCACGTTTTACTTGATAGGCTGGGAGGGGGGTGTTTTAACAGTCATATGTTACTAAGTTAAGTAAACAGATAAACATTTAATATTTTTATCAAATCTCTGATGTTGTGAAAAGTGAGTTAAGCCTTACTGTATTCGCCTTTGAAAATCATAATATAAAAAAAATCAAACATTTGTACATTACTGCTTGTTGCGTTTCTTTTGCGTGTCAGTATATATAAGTCTCTTTCCGAATGCTCTCAACAGTGAAGTATTTCCTTCCGCACAGCCTAACCCAACGTTGACAGTTTTCAAGCTGCGTTTTCGGTTTCGGGAAGGGAATAAACTTTACACCATCCATGTGCGACTTCTGTCCGATATATCTCGAGTCGCTATTACAATCACCATAACAGCAATGTTTTACGGGCATTATTATACGCCGCAGAACACGTGTAAACAATGAACTGTGTCAAGCTTGTTTGTCCGGTGTTGAGTCTACTTCCGCTTTATCGCTTCTGCGCTAGAAAAAAGGCCCCCTATGCGCTAGGTAATATGCAATTAAGCTATTTGCAGAAAAAGCACTTGTCCACGTACAGGTACCGCTCATCAAATAAATTGTTGACGAAATAAAATTGGTTTCAGGCAGTGCTATATGTCTAGCCCCAGACTCAAGATAAAAAAATCACTGATGATAGTAATTTGGCTCTACAGGTGACACATACCTTGTAATATGTCTGTGAATTTTAAAGTGAGCCTGCATTAAGATCAACATAGTGACTTTTCTCAATGTTAAAGGTAAAAAAGATCAACAGATCTACAGTGAAAGTGATATTGATGAACCAGTTCAAAGAAAAAAGCGAAAAGGTTGTTATATCACGTAAGTGAATTTTAAAGTGAGCCTGCATTAAGATCAATATAGTGTTACGTCATTATGTTTCTTAGTATTTGTAGTTAAGGTTTTTATTCACAGCAAAAAAGACTAATCATGAGACTTTGTAATGTTAGAGGTAAAAAAAGATCAACAGATCTACAGTGAAAGTGAAATTGATGAACCAGTACAAAGGAAAAGGCAAAAAGGTTGTTATATCACAATACTGTAAAACAAGATAAAATTTTCTTCTGGCATAATTTAGCACAATTACACCTACATGATGTAAAGTACTATAAACGTGTTTCATTTCATGTGTACAATATTTTGCGGAAATTATTTTTTCAACAACTTAAGGATAATTTGATAAATGGTCACAGTTGACAGCTGCAGTATGATAATAATGCTCTAGAATCTATCATATTATACGAATTTTAAATCAGCCCGTTAGTAATGACAGAATTTAAAACAATTACTGTTAAAACAAAGAACAAAAATCTTTTGCGTTTGACCAGGCATTGGTGCATGATGTTGTTTACGAAAATGTCATAATTCCACAAGAGAGAGAAATGATAAAAGCTGTATATGGACATGATGAATATCGACTTGCGTCTGCCTTCAAACATCTAGAGATCCATCCACTAAAATGGGCAAGTGTGACAGAGCAGCAAAAACAACACCAGGTAAACAGAGTATTTCATTGTAAAATCCATCTCAACAATGAAGAACCAATTCTAAGAAAACTTTCCCTTGTAAGGGACCTGTGGAAAGAAGCAAAGTGGATGAATTGCAAAACGGCAACTTTTGTGTTGCCGAGGATGAACAGATTTTCACACTTAAGGAAAGGATTTTCTTGTCAGTGTTATAAGTTTTAAAAAACTTGGACTTTGTGGTCATGTGATTGCTGTTGCAGATGACAGGGGTCGACTAGGAGATATACTAATGAACTTGAAATACAACCCATCAATCGTTATCTACAAGAACAAACCTACTTCTGGTGAAAAAAAGAGTAAAGAAACCAAGAAAAGTTCAACAGAACATTTTAAAAATGCCGCTCGTTGTCGCAGAAGAGAGTGGCGTCACTTATGAACTTCATGTTCAGGACCATTCCAATATGGTGATTTTTTTTTTTAGGTTTAACAGGATTACTTACATATCTATACAATCAAGTGACGAACATTCACAGAAAAATAGTTAGAAATTTATAACATTATGAAACAAATTTACAATCTACAATTTCAAAAATTTATTTCATTTATTAAAAGAAAACAAAAAAGTAAACAAAGAAAGGACAAAAAATAGTTTAGCACATGAATCTAATACACACTTAGGAAAAAGCCTGAGAAATATGGAAACTGGATTTACTATAATTAGCATGATACACAAATCTAGAGTCTTCATCCTTGCAACTATTTTAAATTGTTTGATTGTGCTGGATTCATTATTTTAAAACACCTCTAATTTGAAATGGAAATCCATTAATAAAATTCAGTATCTTGTACAGATATTTAAAAGATATACATGTAGCTTTAAAATTACACAATCATTTAATCACACTGCTTATGAAGAATTTCTCTTGACAATTCTTTTTTGAAAAAGTGAGATTAGTATATTTTAAATGCTAAGAATTCTGGCTCTGAACTTTCTGGGATGCACTTCAATATCTCTGACAGACGAAATCGAAGACAGTTCAGTAGTTGTGCAATTTAACTCTCTTAACTTATATGCTTTAAAAGAGACTAGAACAATTTTTCTCCCTGTGGTACGTGGCTATCTGTCCTTCGGATGAGACCTTATAAACGGTAGTATTATGTCGTAGTAGGTGCTGGCACGGACACCATCCCTCAATGGCACTAAGTGCGGCTCTCCGCCATATGGATAAAAAAAAAATAGACATTGATTTATTAAAGAGATTGCTGTTTACGCGATCAGCTCTGTACTTTCAAAGTACCCATTTATATATGTGGGTTTGTTCTTAAAAATCAGACTTGTACCTTATAAGGGTTTACATCAGGGAAACAGAGAGAAGAGACAATACGGACAACCTAAGTATTCTACATTAAATACTGTCTTTTCATCTACATTGTTTTTAAGATGTCTAGAAAACCATGAGGACGTAAAAGAGAATCTAGCGAGGATCTGTCTTGGACGTCTTTCTCCACCCGAGACAGAGACAACGACAGGACTAGTGGTAACTGTGCTGCTATCTTTGGGGCGGATCCTGAAGCAGATTTTACGACAGGAGTAGTGGTAACTGTGCTGCTATCTTTGGGGCGGATCCTGAAGCAGATTTTACGACAGGAGTAGTGGTAACTGTGCTGCTATCTTTGGGGCGGATCCACAGAGATAAAGACATGAGTGGATATCACTGCTGCCGTGGAGGAGGATGGTGGTATAACAACTGTTACAATGGCTTCCTGGACGGTCTCTGGAATCCTAGATCAGACTAAATAGCCTGAGGACAAATAATCAGATATTTAGAGTGTAGGCCATTTTGTCTACTTATATATCCATTTTAATTATTTTTTATTTAATAAATAATCATTCATAAACTATAATCAATTTTATTATTCAATGGGTTTTCTTTGTAAATCAGCCATGTGCCTTATAAGGGAACCATTACAATGTGTGGTTTTTGTTCTTCTTAAATCCGACATGCATCTTCTATGGATTTACAACCGGTAGGCGACGCCGAATGACAATCATAAAACCTGAAAATGTTTTTTCTTCTACATTCTTTTTTCAAGACGCCTTTAAAACCGTACAATATGTATTGGGGCGTACAAAAGAGACCGTAGCGATGATCTGTCTGGGACGTAGTTCACCATCCGGGACAGAGACAACGACAGGAGTTGTGGTAACTGTGCCATCTTTAGGGCGGACCAACAAACAGAGATAAAGACCGGAATAGTGGTAACTCTGCTAGCTGTTATCTTTATGGCGGATCCACAAACAGAGAAACGACAGGAGTAGTGGTAAATGTGTTGCTATCTTTGTGGCGGATCCACAAACAGAGAAACGAAAGGAGTAGTGGTAAATGTGTTGCTATCTTTGTGGCGGATCCACAAACAGAGAAACGACAGGAGAAGTGGTAAATGTGTTGCTATCTTTGTGGCGGATCCACAAACAGAGAAACGACAGGAGTAGTGGTAAATGTGTTGCTATCTTTGTGGCGGATCCACAAACAGAGAAACGACAGGAGTAGTGGTAAATGTGTTGCTATCTTTGTGGCGGAATTACAAACAGAGATAAATACAGGAGTTGTGGTAACTGCTGTCTTGGAGGAGGATGGTGGTTTAACAACTGTCACAATGGCTTCCTGAGCGGTCTCTGGAATTCTAGATGAGATTAAATGGCCTGACGAGAAGCAATCAGATGTTATGAGAATATAGACCATTTTCTCTGCTTAGCTATCCATGTTATTTTTTTTATATAACGAATAATCATTCATAAACTGTAATCAATTTTATTATCAACCTTGTATTTTATTTTTTATCAGTAAAGTAAATGTCATATATTTCATT